TCTTTCCCTTTGACTATTATTAGAATTTCAGTATCCAACTCAAAATCAATTGATAATCGATAAAGAGGTCCAAAATTATGTAAACTATTAACGCAATGTTTCTACTTCCTATGTGAGATAACAGTCTTGACATGCCTGAATTGCTGTGGAAGGCATACATTGACTTTGAACTATCAGAGGGTGAATTTGAGAGAGCTAGAGAACTTTACGAGAGACTCCTAGACCGAACAAAACACCTAAAGGTGTGGATCAGTTACGCGAAATTTGAGGCATCTGCTACAGTGGAAGCAATGTGTTCAGAAGACCAGGATCAGGAGAAGAAGCACATACCCAAAACCTCAAGATATTGGAAGCTGCCTACATGTGGAAGAAGCGAAAGGTGGTTTAGGAAATAAGAAAGGTAATAGCAATGATGTTTATTTCTCTGATGTGGCTTTGCAGATGTTAGAATGCACTAGAGATTAGCTTGTATTTGTAGAATAATGGATTTATGAATCGTTCCATTTATAAGTTGGGGAGCTTCCAGTTTTCTTTGTAGAGCATAGTCTGCTTGAAACGTAGATTGGTTTGTATGATGTGCTAACATCTTTCCAGCTAATGTACCTGTATGCGTAATTATAATAATCATTCTCTTCATAGTCATTATGTATTTTCAATTGATCAATTATTTTCATTTTATAATTACTTATATGATATGGTTTGTTCATTTGATGCTAATTTTTGGAATAAACTGAATGGTGGATTAGCAGCTAAAACGGAAGAGTGATGCAGCAGATTACGAAGCTGAGTCTAGTGATAGGACAGCTGCTACTGGATATACTGAAGCAGTTACCAGCCCCCTCCAGACTCCTGTGTCAAGCAAGGTGGGAAGGGCAAACAAAACATCAAGGCTGACAAAGTGTAGCAGATCTGGACCCCAGACTCCGGCTTCCAATGTGGGTGAGTGTTACTTAAATCTGTCAAGTGTGCTCCCATACTTGTAGTTCTATTATATATGCGAGGTAAGGTTTAATTGAGATTTGAAGAATGGATTAGTTGTGTTCCGAAAAGAATGAATTAGCTGATGCTATGAGAATTTATGGGATTTGTTTGCTTGATACTCCCATCTAATCTGTATAATTGACAGGTTCTCCTTCTGGGGCTAATCTTACTCCAGCCGGACCTTGTCGTTTTGACAGCTCCCTAGGTAACAGAACGATTTCCTATGTTTTTTGTTAACTGATTTTATCATTTAGTTATTTAGGTTCTTCATCAGAAAAGCAAGTTAATTTTTTCATTTGTTGTGCAAATATTATGGCAATGTCCTATTATTGCCATTCAGGTCTCTTAACAAAAAAGTTTATCAATCTGATCAAACATGCGGAAGATGGTATTCTGGATCTCAATAATGCTGCTGATACTTTAGAGGTGACTACTTTCCTATCTGTTGTAATGTATTCTATGTCAAGGATCTGTAAATTATAAATGTTCTTTTTATGTATGTGCAAAAGAGGCAGATATATGATATAACAAATGTTCTTGAAGGAATTGGTCTTATAGAAAAGAAGCTTAAAAATAGAATTCAGTGGAAGTAAGGGGTTAGTTGTATTTGTTTCCTGAAATTTTAACAGCTATTTTTCCACTTTATTAAGTTGTAAATATTCAATTATCCACTGTATATTAGAAGTTACTCAAAATTGAGTGATTGGTTGATTAGGGGACCTGATGTCTTGAGGACAGGGGACATGGACGAATATTATCCTAGCTTACAGGTACGGAAAAAAGTGAACTTGTTGCTTGGCATGCTCATGCTTGGATAGCTTAGTCTTGGCTCAGTGTTTGAGACTGTATGTTTGTTTGCTTAAAAGTACCAATGCTGTTCGTGTTTGTGCTATTGTGTCCTGTTATTTGTTGTTTATCTGTTCTCTCTTCTTTTTGGGCGTGCCAATCCCCAACCTCGCTATCATTGTTGATTCCAAAACTAGACTGAAAGTGTTAGCTGATTAAAAAGGCTGCATTTACTCACAAGGAAGTAAATAACCATATAAATCTAAAGTCAACATCCCTTTTACTGACTGGTTGGGTTTTCTGTGCAAATTGCTTTCCATATTTGAACTTCAGCATGATTTCGTTACCGATCATGTTACCTAAGTCTAAATGTTTTGTCCAATTCCAATGCATTCAAATATGAATAGCTGGCATGACAAAGCGGGGATTTTATGTTCTTGACTCGAATAGTTGAGCTTGCTAGATTTCAGTCCGCATGTTTTGTCCAGTACCATTTTTCAGCGTAATGCATTCAGATATGAATGATTGGCATGACAAAGCAGGATTTGTGTTCTTGATTAGATTACTTTGACAAGACTTGTTTTTGGTTGATCGTGCTAGATTTCAGTCCACATTTGTCCGGTTCCAAGTTTGTGTGATGCATTTGAATTTCAATGATTGTCATGAAAAAAGCAGGATTTGTGTTCTTGGCTGGAAAGAGTTTCCAAGGCCTTTGTTTGGTTGAGCTTCCTAAGATTAGTGTCATGGTTGATTAAGACTAGAGACAATGGATCATACATAAAATCTGTCAACTTTTCATTGCACGTCATAGCAAAAATAATGTTTGCCAATTCTGAAGTACAGATATGACCTCATTCATAATTTCCTTTTTATCCCAGGCACAAGTTGAAAACCTATCTGATGAGGAGCGCAGATTGGATCAGCAAATAAGGTTAATCCTTGGCTGATGCTGCTTTTTCGTTCTTTGCTATTGTTATTTGTTTCCAGAGAAATGCAGGAAAGGTTGAGGGACCTGAGCGAAGATGAAAGCAATAAGAAGTAAAGTTTTATCCTTCAATGTTCAGTATCAATTACATTCCATGGAAGGTCATCACTGGCTAGTTTTGAACATTCTATTTTTAGCTTACCCTGTTGTAATTTATGCAAACACTTATCTCAGTTTTCCTTTTTACTTTGGTGGATGGCTTTTTGTCACTGAAGAAGACATCAAGGGCTTACTTTTAGGGAGTAGATTTTAAGGCTTGAGAGCCAAGCCAAAAGGCTTTTGTGCACAAGGATACCAAACAGCTCACGTATGCCTTTTTGTTGGGTTTGCAATGGCCAAAAGTTGAAATAATGCAAGAGGAAAGGTTATTTTGGTTCATGCATGTTTTTGTTGGAGAAGTTGTGAAGTTTTCCTATGCACAATATCATTTTCTTAGTTCTTTCGTACCAAGGAGTGGCCCCAGCAAGTGCTATACGGTCTCATGAAGATGTTCTGGGTGCTGGTTTAGTTTGGAGAACTTTATTGTTAAAATTTGGCTTTTGGCACAATTATGGTCATTTTTGGATTCTCCTCATAATTTTCACTATGGAGTGTTTCACGTGAATTCAAGGTTTCAGTCATGTTGCAAATGGTTATGGTGATGATTTGGACTAAGTTTGGGGGTCCCGTATGGCCTACATTGTGTTTTAGGTGGATTGGAAGTTCAAAAATGAGCCAAAATACCAAAACTGATACTGCTGCATTTTCTTGCTGTTCATCGGATTTTTCGTCACTAAAACCCCTTTTGCGAGGGGTGTTCATCGGATTTTTTGTCGACAAAAGGTTCCTGACAACCTTTAGTGACGGTTTTCTGCAGAAAAACCGTCGCTAAAGGTCATTTTTCCAGATTTTTGCTGCTGTTGCTGTCCTCAAAAGCTGCTGCTTCACACTAGTTTGGGGGTGGTTTGCCTCTCACACTAGAGCCTCATGCCTCGCCATAAACCGGGGAAGTCCTCTTCTTTTCCTTGTTTCTCTTATTTATTTATTTATTTCTTTTCTTTTCTATATGCTTCCTTCCTTAACCATGCATTGCCTGTTTTCTTTTCTTAACATTGAGGACAATGTTTAGTTCTAGTTTTGGGGTGGGAAACTTTGTTTAGGTTGTTTTCTTTTAGTTTTTGTATAAAATAAAATAAAATTTCAAGGTTAAGATTTTTTTTTTTTTTGCCAAATTCCAAATTTTTTGTTTGTAATCTTAGTTGTTTGTTCTTCTTGTTAATTGTGAACAATTCAGTCTAGTGAAATTTAAATTTTGAATTTGATATTCATAGGGGAGTTTAAAGGTTTGAACATGCTTCCATTATGAAATCTAGGGTGAAATTTGCAATCATAGTTATTTACTTTGGATGAGTGGATTAGTCATATGCTTCACCTTGAGACTTTCACATGCACACCAGCCTCATCCTTTTGTTTTATAAAATATAGGATTAGTTAGCATTTAACTAAAAAGTTTGAAAAAGGTATATCATATTGAAAGTGACCAAAGAAGTCAAAGCCCTATGCAAAATCAAAGTACAATTCAACGAAGCTAGAGTGGAAATTAAAGTGAGCTAAAAGCTAAAGGTCGGAAATTACATACAAGCCTTTTCAACTCGAGTGAGTAAGTCCTTCGGAATGTCTTCACATTTAGTGCCCTAAAGTCATATGATTTGGGAGTCATTGACCTAAAGCTCATTACATGGGCTGATTAGAAAGCTTGTTTCGGTTATAAAGAAAAAGAAGAACAAAAAAAAGAATGCCTATGCTAGTTGTTTGCTAGGTAGTCCTTTCTTCATGGTAGACAATGAAATATTTGTTAATTACTGGATGTGTAAGATATTATATTTGAGTCTTTCCTTTGAAATGGTACGCAATATTATTGGAGATACTTTGTTGCTATTGCAGATCCTATCTAAGACTTCCCAAGATCATTAATGTCACATAACGTGTTCATACTAGAACTCAACATAAAGTCATTATGCTTGGTACAGAAGAAAAATAAAATAAGCTTTTATACTTAAGAAGAATATATGCAAAAACTTAATTTCTAGTGAGTATGATGTTACATGAACACATTACTAGAAGACTTAAGAAAAGCTCAAGGATTCTCAAGCAAATGAGGTGCATGTTCAGTGATTAACGAAAAACAACAAGGGAAATCGAACAATAACCCTTCAGAACAAAGCTGAAGTCCATCAACAAACTAGATTCCCCACCAGGAATTGAGTAAAACCTCAAAATTTATTGAATACAAATATGAATATTATTATCCAGAGATGCACTGATGGATCCCTTTTATCCATATACAACTCTAGACACACTAGAAAACCCAAATTGGAACCAAAAACGGAAAATAACAAAATTCCCAAAAATATTATTAAAACTTTAAATGCTAAAAAGTGAAAGTAAACAATGGAATTTGGCCTAAAATGTCCATATGTCACAACAACATAATCAGTTGCACTCGTGTCGCCAGTCATGGGCCCAATTCTAAGCTCAAAGCCCAAATTTGCACGAGATGGATTTTACTTCCTCAACAATCCGGTTGTTGATGTGGCATATATATGGAGCTCACATCTACAATAATATAGTGTCACATGTATTTAAAATATAATATATATTTTAATTAAAAAATTAAAAAATTTCACAAGGACCATTTGTGAAAGGTGCATGAACCTCAGGGATGTTTTGTGATATACATATATGCCATATCAGCAAACTAACGGAGTTTTTGACGGAACCTAACTGCAATGACCATTTGTGATCACACATACTAACCTTGAGGACTACGAATGACACAAAAACACATTAAAGATGCAATCTGATAGTTTCATAAACCTTATAAATAATTAAAAAGAAAACCAAAATTTTATGAATTTTAAATTTAAAAATTTAAAATTTTTGTAGAGACCATTTGTAATAGGTGTGTGAACCTCAGAAATGTTTTGTAATATATATATATATATATATATGCTCCA